ATAAGTCGCCGGGTCCTGATGAGGTTTTTTCAAGGATTCTTAACCCCTTCAGGGTCCAAGGCCAAAATCTGAAGTTGTGCTCCAGTGTCCAAGAAATTTTGAAAAAAAAAAAAAAATTTTCTTACAGAATTAAAGAGTATATTTTTGTGAAGGTAATAAGAAAAAAAAAAAAATTTCTGATCAGTACTTACCGAGATACAGCGGCGGGAAGTTGACACAAAATGACCGGGTGGCGGCAACATCAGTGACTTCCGCAAAATCCCATTTATTTATTTTAGGTTTTTTATACTTTTTTCTTCTCTAATTTTTTTCTTTTTCTAGTAACATTTGTGGCCTGTTAGACCAGTATAATGTATATTGTATAAGTGTACACTCATTGTATTCAACACAATAACTGCACTAATTTGTTTATCATTATATTGCTTACAAAACTTGTTTACAAGTTTATTGTAAACAAAATGATGAAAATATTAGTGCGGTTATTGTGTTGAATACAACGGTACCATTTAGTACCATATGGTACAATGGTGCTATAGGGTGCAATGGTACCATATGGTACAATGGCACATGATACAATGGTACCATTTGGTACAATGGTACCATATGATACAATGGTACCAATATCAAGTACCAAATGGTACCATATGATACAATGGTGCCATTTGGTACAATGGTACCATATGATACAATGGTATATGATACAATGGTACCATATGATACAATGTTACCATATGATACAATGGTACCATATGATACAATGATACCATATGATACAATGGTACCATATGATACAATGGTACCATATGATACAATGGTACCATGTGATACAATGGTACCATATGATGCAATGGTACCATATGCAATGGTACCATATGACACAATGGTACCATATGGTGCAATGGTACCATTTGGTGCAATGGTACTATATACAATGGTACCATATGGTGCAATGGTACCATATGGTGCAATGGTACCATATGGTGCAATGGTACCATATGGTGCAATGGTACCTTATGGTGCAATGGTACCTTATGGCAAAATGGTACCATATGGTGCAATGGTACCTTGTGGTACCATATGGTGCAATGGTACCATATGGTGCAATGGTACCTTGTGGTACCATATGGTGCAATGGTACCATATGGTGCAATGGTACCATATGGTGCAATGGTACCATATGGTGCAATGGTACCATATGGTGCAATGGTACCATATGGTGCAATGGTACCATATGGTGCAATGGTACCATATGGTGCAATGGTACCATATGGTGCAATGGTACCATATGGTGCAATGGTCTTTGGACCATATGGTGCAATGGTACCTTGTGGTACCATATGGTGCAATGGTACCTTGTGGTGCCATATGGTGCAATGGTACCTTGTGGTACCATATGGTGCAATGGTACCTTGTGGTACCATATGGTGCAATGGTACCTTACGGTGCCATATGGTGCAATGGTACCTTACGGTACCATAGGTTCAATGGTACCTTAAGTACCAACGGTTCAATGGTACCTTAAGGTACCATACGGTTCAATGGTACCTTACGGTACCATACGGTTCAATGGTACCTTACGGTACCATACGGTTCAATGGTACCTTACGGTACCATACGGTTCAATGGTACCTTACGGTACCATACGGTTCAATGGTACCTTACGGTACCATACGGTTCAATGGTACCTTACGGTACCATATGGTTCAATGGTACCTTACGGTACCATATGGTTCAATGGTACCTTACGGTACCATATGGTTCAATGGTACCTTACGGTACCATATGGTTCAATGGTACCTTACGGTACCATATGGTTCAATGGTACCTTACGGTATCATATTGTTCAATGGTACCTTACGGTACCATATGGTTCAATGGTACCTTACGGTACCATATGGTTCAATGGTACCTTACGGTACCATATGGTTCAATGGTACCTTACTGTACCATATTGGTTTCAATGGTAACCTTACGGTACCATATGGTTCAATGGTACCTTATGGTACCATATGGTGCAATGGTACCTTATGGTACCATATGGTGCAATGGTACCTTACGGTACCATATGGTGCAATGGTACCTTACGGTACCATATGGTGCAATGGTACCTTACGGTACCATATGGTGTAATGGTACCATACAGTACAATACCATATGGTTCATTGTACCATATGGTACTGTTGTATTCAACACAAACACACTAATATTTTCATTATTTTGTTTACAATAGTTGTTTACAACAAAAATATGCAAAAATGTTATATATTAGTTATGTTCTATTATATATTTACAAGTGTACAGGAACCTGACGCGTTCCTTGAGGTGGATGACAAAGCACTTTGTCTCGGAAACTGTGGAGTCAGTAGCTAGTTTGTGTCACCACTCAGTCTTGGCTGGTGTCTCATGCCACCAACACCTACTGACCATATGGTACACGCTATCATATGTTACAGGGTACCATATGGTACATTGTACTATATGGTATAGGGTACCATGCAGTACAGGATAACATATGATGCAGGGTACCATATGGTACAGGGTACCATATGGCACAGGGTACCATACAGTACAGGACGCCATATGGTACAGATACAGGGATAACTATGGAAATAAGTCACCCTGACTTTTTTGGGTTTTCCTAGGATTTTATACGTATGCTGCTATGTATGATAATCTATGTAATTGTATTTATGTACACCTGAATAAACTTACTTAAGTGCATGTGGCATCATAAGTAAGTTTATTTAGTTATACACAAATAAAGTTACGTAGAATATCATACTTAGCAGCATATGTTTGGAGAACCTAGGATAACCCAAAAAAGTCAGACTTGTATCCATTAGGGTCCCTGTACCCTGTACTATATGGTACAATGTACTATATGGTACATTGTACTATATGGTACATTGTACTATATGGTACATTGTACTATATGGTACATTGTACTATATGGTACATTGTACCATATGGTACCATTGTACCATATGATTCCATTGTACCATATACCATTGTATGACATGGCACCATTGTACCATATGGTACCATTGTACCATATGGCACAAAGGCACCATATGGTTCAAAACCATAGAATTCGTCTTCAGCTCCACTTCCATCAGTCTTAGAACTGTAAGTTGTGAAGAGGAGAGTCAGAATTCACCCAGAGAGTGAGTGGGGAGTGAGAGCTTCCTTGCCGCCAGGCACAATGAACAAAGCTACTTTGCCGGCGTTCCCACAATGCCATGCGGGCGTCCAGATTTTTTCTATGGTGTGCACACTGACCACCCAGACCCATTCTTTCTGATGTAGGCCTACCAGCCTTCTTGCGCTAAATTTGACACCCTAGAATATTGGCATAGATCTACGGTTTGGACCCTGAACGTAAAGCCGTAGATCTACGGGAGCGACCCTGAACGGGTTAAGGAATGCAAAATGGAACTCTGTGAACCATTAACTAATATTTTTAATTTATCTCTTCAAACAGGTGTAGTGTCTGATGTGTGGAAGATGGCTAATGTAATTCCTATTTTCAAAACAGGGAACAAGTCGTTACCGTCAACTTACCGCCCAATAAGCCTGACCTCAATTGTAGGCAGATTACTAGAGTCAATTATAGCTGAGATTATAAGAAGCCATCTCGATAAGCATAGCTTGATTAATGATACTCAGCATGGATTCACAAGAGGCCGGTCTTGTCTAGCTAATTTATTAACTTTCTTCAGTAAAGCTTTTGAGGCTGTTGACCGCGATAAAGAATTTGATATTATTTACTTAGATTTTAGTAAGGCTTTTGATTGAGTTCCACACCAAAGACTGTTAAAGAAAGTGGCAGCTCATGGCATTGGGGGAAAAGTACTCCCGTGGATCGAGTCATGGCTCACAGACAGGAAGCAGAGAGTGTCCATAAATGGGGTTAAATCCGAGTGGGGATTAGTAACAAGTGGCATTCCACAGGGATCAGTCTTAGGCCCGTTGTTGTTTATAATATATATCAATGATCTTGATGAGGGAATTACTAGCGATATGAGCAAATTTGCCGATGACGCAAAGATAGGTAGGATAATTGATTCAAACGTAGATGTTAGGGAACTTCAGGAGGATTTAAACAAACTCTATTCTTGGTCAGAAAAGTGGCAGATGCAGTTCAATGTAGATAAATGCAAGGTTCTGAAGCTCGGGAGTGTCCATAACCCTAGCACTTACAAGTTAAATGATGTAGAACTTAGCCATACAGATTGCGAAAAGGACTTGGGGGTTATGGTGAGCAGCAACCTTAAGCCAAGACAGCAATGCCTAAGCGTCTGTAATAAGGCAAATAGATTACTGGGATTTATATCAAGAAGTGTAAGCAACAGAAGTCCAGAGGTCATACTGCAGCTTTATACATCATTAGTAAGGCCTCACCTAGATTATGCAGCTCAATTCTGGTGTCCATATTACAGAATGGACATAAATTCGTTAGAAAACATTCAGCGTAGGATGACTAAATTAATACATAGCATTAGAAATCTTCCTTACGAAGAAAGATTGAAGACTCTTAAGTTACATTCACTTGTTAGACGAAGAATGAGGGGAGACCTGATCGAAGTGTATGAGTGGAAGATAGGTATTAATGAAGGGGATATTAATAAGGTCTTGAGGATATCTCTCCAAGAGAGAACCCGCAGTAATGGATTTAAATTGGATAAGTTTAGATTTAGAAAGGACACAGGAAAGTATTGGTTTGGAAATAGGGTAGTTGATGAGTGGAACAGTCTACCTAGTTGGGTTATTGAGGCTAGGACTTTGGGTAGTTTCAAATTTAGGTTGGATAAGTACATGAGTGGGAGGGGTTGGATTTGAGTGGGACTTGCACATCAGAGCTTATTTCTTGGGTGGCATTGAAAATTGGGTTGGGCAAATGTTTTGTTAGTGGGATGAATTGTAAAGGACGTGCCTAGTATGGGCCAACAGGCCTGCTGCAGTGTTCCCCCTTTCTTATGTTCTTATGTTCTTAAACCCAGCTGCGTGGCACTGCGAGGCAGTGTAGAGAGGGCATGTTGATGGCATAGAGGAGAGAGCAGACTGCAGATAGTGCTCGCTGGCTGATATGCTTCAGGCTGTAAAGTAAAAGGACACAAGTGCAACTAATGTGACATTTTATTGTGGCAACGTTTCACTCTCCAGGAGCTTTGTCAAGCCAATACAAACAGTATATGGACACAGAGGGTATGTAAAGGCTCAGAGTGAGGTGCAATACTAGTGAGGTACCATTTCGATTTTCACTAGTGGTGGTGGTAGTAGTAGTAGTGACAAAAGTAGTTGTAATACAATATGGTAGAGCAATTAATTCGTACATGAGTAAAAGGATATAAAAGCTATTACTTGGGTAACATTAAAGTAGGTTGGACAAATATAGACTGGATAGAGAAGGCCTGTTTCAGTGTTCACTCTGTAATGTGCATTGTGTAGTTTAACAGGAGAGACTATGAGATGGCAGGTTTTACTGTTTTCAGGAGGATTCTCGCTAAGACTAAAGAGATGGTGAAGCTGCCATTGTTTTGTTTAATTGTATTCAAAACAGCGATCGGTGCTGATTCGAGGCACTTGCGTCTGTGGAAATTAGTTTTTTTTTTTTATCACTAATTGGGCGTCCCTGAATTTCATGAGATGAATGGAGGAATTTCGGTGTTGTACACAGGCGTTGTTCAAGTTATCGTTCCTACATGCGTAAATGTGTTCATTGAGGCGGGTGTCGAGATCCCAGCACCACGTGGACAGACACATGGCTTCTGCTGAAAGGAAGAGGTCACGATGTTCCAGGGACATGACGGATGACTCGGATTTAGAAATGGACGACTCGGATTTAGAAATGTGGGGCGCGATCCTAGCGAAGAAGTTGCGAGACCACTCAGTGTCATCAGAGGAAAAGTCTCCAGTTCTGACAAGCCTAACCATGCAGCCAGAGAATATGGAAGGATGGATCAATGTGAACAGTAAGACATGCCGTCCCTCCAAGGAGCAGGTAAACCAGCTCAAATCACCTTCCAGATTCAAGGTAAAGGCTTATGGGGAACACAAAACCCACTATGGCATGGTTACACACTTGGAAACATGGCACAAACTGATGTTCAAGATATGGTTTGACCTGAGGGGAGAACCAATACTGACTCCTATCAACAGGGAAATGCATATCACCTTGAAGAAAGTCATGGAGACAGACCGCTCCTTCACCCTGGAGGAACTGGATTCTCGGCAGAAGGTCACCAAGGGTGTAGTGATGCGATACCCGCTGATGATGCCCATCGAGGCAGTAGCAGCTCACCCCAGTGTCGTGTCAGCTCAGTGTCTCGAGGCAAAATCGGCAGGTAACGCACCAACCCGGCAGGTCCTCATTCAGCATGTAGGACCACTGCCATCCCAGCTGGACCTCGGTTCTTGGGGCAGGTACGATGTCAGGACCTTCACGGCAGAACCAGTTCTCTGTTTCAAGTGCCAGCGTTACGGACACCTGGGTGCACTGTGTCCGAACAGAGTACAGTGGACCCCCGGTTAACGATTTTAATCCGTGCAAGAGGGGTAATTGTTATGCGAAATAATCGTTATGTGAATGAATTTTCCCCATAAGAAATAATGGAAATAAAATTAATCCGTGCAAGACACCCAAAAGTATGAAAAAAATTTTTTTTTACCACATGAAATATTAATTTTAATACACACAAACTGAAAAAGGCATGCACACTTACATGACACTTACTTTTATTGAAGATCTGGTGATGATTGATGGGATGGGAGGAGGGGAGAGCATTATCTTCTTACTGTTTAGAAGGGGAATCCCCTTCCATTACGACTTGAAGTAGCAAGTCCTTTTCCGGGGTTACTTCCCTTCTTCTTTTAATGCCACTAGGACCAGCTTGAGAGTCACTGGACCTCTGTCGCACAACAAATCTGTCCATAGAGCTCTGTACCTCCCGTTCCTTTACGATTTGTCTAAAATGGGCCCAAACGTTGTCATTGAAATAGTCACCAGCACAGCTTGCAACAGCTGTGTCAGGGTGATTTTCATCCATAAAGGTTTGCAGTTCAACCCACTGTGCACACATTTCCTTAATCTTTGAGTAGGCACAATGGATTCCACAACTGGCATAGGCTTCTCAGGGTTAGCCCAAACCCTTCAAAATCTTTCTTAATTTCCATACTAATTCTCACCCTTTTTACACAGGGTTGGCACTAGAAGCTTTCTTGGGGCCCATGGTCACTTATTTTCCAGAAACAGCACCGAAAACACTGTAATAATACGAAATATTCCGAGTGTATGCTTGGATGTTACCGCGGAGGCTGGCTGGTAAACAATGGGACGGGCGGCACATGTGAGGCTGGCTGAGGGCACATTGGACGCGTCTCGGACGAAAATCGGTGAGCGGGTTTTTAATCGGTATGCACGGCAAAAATTTTGCGATAAAAGTAAGCGGTATGCGGAAAAATCGCTATGTGATGCCATCGTTATGCGGGGGTCCACTGTAATCTGCTGTGTCTGCAGCCAGCCCCACCCTACCGAGGAATGCATCGCCAAGCTGAAGAATGCATCGCCACCCACTCCACGATACCCGAATTGCAGGCAGAAACACCATGCCTGGAACCCTCGATGCTCTGAGAGGCTCACTAGAATTCGTGAGACCTGGAAGACACCAACGACGAGACAGCAGGCTACGGCAAAGCATCACCCTCAGCAGATGATGGGTGCAGAGAATCCTGCCATATTGCAGAACTCATCAGGCAACCCAACTCAATACCCAGGAATTTCCGACCCTTGAAGACTCAGCCAGGCGTCATGAACAGGAGCATCCTCCCCCACTACCGCAACGAAGAAACAAAAAACATGAGGAACAAGCGGCGCCAACAGGAAACATCTGGGGAACGCAATCAGCAGACGGCACTACACGAGCCCCCACCGGCCTCCTTGCCAGGCACAGCCACTATGCAGGCTGTGGCTGCACCTCACCAGCAGATGCCGGGTACACAACTTGGCATACAGCAACAGGCCATGGTGGGCACAGTGAAGAAATACAACCCTCAGCAGTCCCCACAGATTACAACAGCCCAGATAATATCCACTGCTTCGAACCCACCAACAACGCAGGCCCTCGACAGAGAGGATCTCTTAACATTCAAGGCATTCACGGATATTATCTGCAACACAATCACCTCCACGGAACAACAGAGCATGTTCCGGCAGATGGTCAGCACACTCCTGAGGGTGTGCTTACTGACAGAGCAGGGAAACAGTGGATGCCATGAATCTGCAGATTATCAGAGCGGACAGAGCCCAGTCCCCAGCTCAGGAAACAGCTGAGATGGAGTAACATCAGTCGCTTATGAGGCACACTAGCTGAACTGTCCAGAACAGGGCTTGAGCAGCACATGCTGCAACAGTGAAGAATCAATTCTCCTTCAGGAGCCAGAGAAGGGTCATCTCAAGATTAAGACCCGTGCCAGGACCCTGGTCTTGGCGAACATTATACATACACATATACTGTTTGTATCGGCTTGACAAAGCTCCTGGGGAGCGAAACGTTGCCACAATAAAATGTCACATTAGTTGCACTTGTGTCCTTTTACTTTACATATTGTCAGTAATTCTACCAACATTATTACTACGCTTCAGGCTGAGGTGAAGAGCTGGTTTGGACGTCAGGTGTCAGGAGGCTCACGTTATGTGTTGCGGAAGTGTGTTGTGTGTTTGGCTACACTTCACTGGTGATGGAGCCACTCTAGAGTCTTTTGAAGTCTCTCTTGGACATGTGGAATAGTTGCATTCTGAGGTTGGAGAAGTTCAGATTCGTCACGAGGTAAGATAGTGCATTTTCAAAAGGAATTTGGTGAGGTTTGGTGCAGGTGTACTTAACAGCTCCCTCTTTCATTAAGTGGAGCATATCAGCTGCGCTCATTTCCGTTGGGAGATTGGGGGTGGTGTAGAAGGTTAGAGACCCATTAAAGGCTTGGCTTAGGTAACGATTGCCTTGGGTTTCTTCTTCGGTTACTTCTTCGACTACTACTTCGTCGTCGTCCGAGGGTTGTTCATAATGTTCTGGTTCTATTTCGTCTTCTGTGACTGTGTTGAGAGGAGGCAGGGAGTGTTGGTCAGTTGTGGTTTGTTGGGCTGGTGGTGGGTGGTGAAAGGTGGCAGTAGACGGTGGTGTTGGTTCTGGAGTAGTCTTGGTCAGAGATACGAGTAGGGCCAGGGGTTGAGGTGAAGTTAACAATGTCTGGAATTAGCTTGAGGAGGTCTTGTGATGGTGGCGAGTCTGGAAAGTTGAAGTTTGGCATGTTGTTAAGGCGAAACAGTTCATCGATTGTTGTGTTGAATGAGCCAGGGTTTGCAGCATTAGTGAGTGTGCATACATCATACAGTATAGCATCTTGGATGGAGCAGCATCAGGAAGAGTAGAGAGGGACTGACTGGGAGATGATTGTTGTGTAGCTTGAAGGAGTTCAGTGGTATCTAATTGAATTTTTGCAATGGCAGCGTATGTTGGCGATTTAGGGTTGTTCTTCTTGGTTTCTTCAATGATTTTCTTAGACAGGACATCTTTACGTAAAGGGCATTTTGCTGCAAGGGTGTGGCGAGTACCCTTGCAGTTGAGGCAGGTAGGAGAGTTTTAGTTAGTTAGTTTAATATCTTTATTATGCACCCCATACCCATCCTGTGGGTGGTAGTCAGAAGATTACAAAGGTACATAATGGGTCCAGGAACTGGACCCCAAAGTTATGATAGCTGAACTAGTTACGAAGGTAATGAACTCCAGGTAGATCTGGTCACAATCATGGCAAGTTACAAAGGTAATGAATCAGCCTCACTCTTATACATGGTTACAGTCATGAACATATTACAAAGTAATGAGCCACTGATAAGTCCACACCTGGTCACAGTTGTAATGAGTTATAAATACAAATATTAAGTGGGTCATACACCCACACGAGCACACGCGCACACATACACACACGAGGGCGCACGCACAGACATATGCACACGAGCGTACAAATATATGCATACACACAAGCACGCGTGCGCGCGCGCGCACACACACACACACACACACACACACACACACACACACACACACACACACACACACACACACACACACACACACACACACACACACACACACACACACACAGTTTTAGTTTAGTTCAATATGTTTATTATGCACCCCATACCCATCCTG